GAGTACCGTAACACTATTACATGTTTCATTTAACTCTACTTTTCCCGGTTTTAGGAGAGCTGAATGGGAATTAAAATCTGAAATCTGGGATGAAAATGTGGGCTGCATTCATTAGGGGTTTTTTAGGATTTTTTGTACAGATTTTAGATCAAACGTCCACTAAAGAATGTAAAGTCTGAAAACTGTCAGGTTTGGTTTGGTTTGGGTTTTTTTCCCCAGGCTCTAGCATGAATTTGCTTCTATTTTGGACGTCCTTGATGATTATTTTGTTTGACTAATGCTGCAAATACAGCAACTTGATAATTTCGTATTACCACTTAGTGAAAATAATTGTTCTGTTGCTGGGAAAGATGTGGTACGTTTTGTACCACAGCTGTGAGGGACGTGCTGTATTTGTGTGTGTTTTCAGTTTCTCTTTTTACACACAGGCACATATACTTTTTCATAGTATGATGAAAATTTCAAACTGGAGAGCAGAGGTGCCCAGTGTATTGATACAGAGTGCTCTGCACTTCTGAGAGAAAAAGTAAACGTGTGACAAAAGTCACAAATACCGGTCAGGGGGTTATTTCTTAACTTTGAGGATTATTTTGTTTCCCCCTGGAAAAAGGAAGACCTGGAAATGTCCTAAAAATGCTGTAAGAGTTAATATCATCTGTTCAGTTCAGTGTATAATTCTCCTGCTTTAAAAGTACTACAGACCTGTTAATGAAGCCTCTAAAGTTCCAAATTTGAGCGTGTACCCATATGGCTGAAAGAGCAAACTTCCACTCCAAAGTGTAATTGAGGCATGCAGGCAAACTGCAGGCACTGTGGTAAACAGGGGCAACATTCTGCAACACAGAGGGGACTGCAGAGAAGGTTATTTAAGTGCTCGCTCGAGTTCACTTTTATTTATTTTTCGTCCTTTAGTGTTGCCCGTTAACTGTTGATGCTTATCTTTGGTACTGGAAATAGGAGACCACTTTGTGAGGAGTATATCTGATTAAAGAAACAAATGAGAATTTCATACAACTGAAGTTAATGGTTCGTGTTGCTGTTGAGCACAAAGATCTGCTTATTTGAGTTGCTTCTAGGTTGGTTTAATATTCTAGCGTATGTTCCTCAGGTATTGCACAAGCAGTAAAATACCTGCTTTTCCCTCCCCAGAGACTTTCTTCAGCTCGTGGGGTAGCTTCCCTAAACTAAGTGATGAGCCTCAAAACCCTCCTCCACTTCCTCCACGAAAAAAGATGGATCAGGATGCTTCTAATGCTAAGGTATTTCTGTCCTATATTGAATAACGTTGATAATAAATCAGGGAACATCTAGAATCATAGAATCGTAGAATCATTTAGGTTGGAAAAGACCTTTAAGATCATCAAGTCCAACCACCTAGCCAAGCAGGACTTTGTGAGTCTAAAAGACTTCCAAATGCAGCGCTCCAGTTGCCCTTTTGAAGTTTCGGGTTCCCAGTGTCCAAGCTCTGATAGCTACTTTAGGAATATAGTGGTCATACTCAGATCAAAGATATGGCTGTGTCTGTATCATGTTTCTGACAGCACCAGTAGCAGACGTCACGAGCATCTGTTGGAAGATACGCTCTTTATCTAAACATCTACATTTCTTACAATGTCATCTTCTCTGTACTGTTGTAGGGAAGTTTAAAGTCGGATGACGATCCTCCAGCAATTCCACCTCGGCAGCCGCCGCCTCCAAAGATACAGCCTCGTGCTCCTGCTTACACCAACCCCTTCGACCAGCCGCTGCACAGCCCTCCTCCTCCACCCCCCCGGGACCCTCTCCCTGATACTCCACCGCCGGTACCGCTCCGGCCACCCGAACACTTTATCAACTGCCCTCTCAACCTCCAGCCGCCGCCGGTGGGACGCTTGCACAGAGATCCCGACTGGTTGAGGGAGGCGAGCACAGGTCCCAGCTCTCCCGGCACTCCTCCCAGCACGCCTTCTCCCCGGGTACTGCGCCGCTGCTGCGTGATCAGCGCCAGTCACAACAGCCTGGTCCACCCGCCTGCGCCCCCAGTCCCACCCCGGCACAATTCGAGTCCTCAGTTACCAAAACTGCCACCAAAGACTTACAAAAGGGAGCTCTCCCACCCTCCTTTGCACAGACTGTCTTTGCTAGAAAATGCAGAAACTCCTCAATGACCTTAGCCATAGTAGTCATTGACACTGGAATAGTATTTGTAAAGTTCCTTTTTTTTATTTATTCAAAAAAGGCAGTGTATTTTAGTACTTTCACAAATTATGCTCTTAAAGTGCTGCTGATCAGAAAAAAAAAAAAAGTTTAAATTGGAAAAATAAGCCTACACACACTCTAGCCTGCGTCTGTTCGACAGCGTTACCCTCAGGTGATCAGCAGCATTGCCTTGTTTCACATCCTCAGTGCCGACAGTTATGCCAGTATACAAAATATATCTTTTGCACTGTAAACTACACTAAATGAATTTAAACTGACATCATTTAATTGCACTGAGCCAAAAAAAGGTGCGTCTGTGGAATTTTTTCAAATTTGAGCACTAGTGGCCTTTTTTTTTTTTTAATTAAAAACAAAAGAACAATGGGATGATTACGCAACACAAGGATATACAGTGTTACTGATTTTAAACCTCTGCCCACTTGCCTTCTAACTTCGTGTAAGCTTGGAGGTTCGTGAGTGACCGCTACTGTTCTCAAATATTTTAATGCCATGTCTTAATTGCCATTGATCTGCTGCTGAAGAAAAAAAAAAAAAAAAGAAAAATAGGTTGAAATCTAAATACCAAAATATTCAGTTGGTCTTGATCATTTTGAGAAAGGGTGAACAAGGACTACCTGTCTCGGATATTGGAAAGGATCCCTAGTACTTAGCATGCATCTTGTTCAGATGTGCCTTTTTGTTTTGGTAGGCAAAGGTGTCTTAAGCTAAAGAGTTGTCTACTGTTCGGGAGAACAAAGCTATATGCCGTGTATGTACAATTGTTTATATTGTATATTTACAGATAATGCTAATAACCTGTATAAATTTAAGTGACTCGAGGCCTATAATACAGTCTGCTACTCTCGCAATCTTCTACGGTCAGAAGTGTTTCCTCTGGCTTAGGAACAGTCTTGCCTTCCAAACCTAATAACTTTCTTTAGATCTCACTTAACTTAATCGTGAATCCATTTTGGAAATTGGTAGCATTTAAACCAGCAAACACTTAAAGCTTTATTAAACTTTTTAAACTGATAAGTGAATGGAACTTTTATTTGCCAGTTGAACTACTTGTTTGAACTGGTGTGCGAGTGAGTCTGTTTTACTGGTAGTACTGTAGCAGCATTTATAAAGTGGCCAGAAGCCACATTTTATTTACTGGTCTGTGGCCTTTTACTGTGCTTTGTATCAGAGTTCTTAACAAGATTAATAAATCACCCCAGTCTTAATTTTTAAGAGCTTGAGCAGTGCGTGTTGCTTGTAAGGACAAGGTTGGGAGTTGCATTTAGGAAGTCTTTGGCAATACAAAACGCCCCAATTTTCCAGGCTGCTACTCTCAGCGTTGGTTGTCCTTCGGTCTGCAGTTGGGCCTGATACATGACAGCTCCCGGGGAGCTTAACCCTTCCCTCCTCCTCCTGCCCCATCAGATGCCTTGGCCCCTCTAGATGGAGAAGTGGTTTCTGTTTTTTCTGGCTCCAGTCTGGAGGAAGAGCACTGCGGTGGGACTCGGGGCAGCTCAGGCTTCCAAGTCACTTTTCATCAGCCTGCCTATATCGCTCCCACCGTCTCAGGCATTCCCTCTGGAAAAGGAGAGGTGCTAATTCTCTTCTCCTGGGAAGATGTATCTTGCCATCTGTCCCTTGGACAGTCTTCTCCTACTGCCTGTCCCCTTGATGCTCCTTTCCTGAGAAGGAAGAGGGGTAGAATCTGTCTGAGGTGTCACCCTGAGGGCCATTCGTGCAAGGGGCAGAACACACTTTATAAAGGAGAACTGCTTCGTTTTGCAAAAGTAACATTCAAGAAGTTCCAAATTTGAGATCCGTGAACTGGGAGTGCAGGCAGGAAACGCACAATGCCTTGATTATGTTTTTTTTTTTTCCCTCTGCAGTAAAAAACCAGTTCATACCTCTTTTCTGTAAGTTTGGGAAGAACTCTTCTATCGGTATCTAGTGGTGAAATTCTGCTCAGTGCAGTAACCCCCTCGTGCTCTCTGCATGGAAAAGGCAGGCTGTCAGGTTTCACCGTTCCAGTGATCTGCAGAAAAAGCTGAACAAGTGAAATTTTATATTTAGTTCCTTGTATTGACTCTTTTGAAGTCTCACCAGCAGCTATTGCTAAAAGATGAGTAATATTTTTTCAGACTCCTACATTTTGTGTGTCACTGGGGGGAGGGCAGGTGGGACCTCTCCCAGATTTTAGAATATATAGATGTCGGATTTATACCTTCCTTTACAAGTGCTTAGACCAAAAGCATTGTTAATATCCCATATTAAAATACAGCATAGCTTTATATTTTGGTCCTGACTCAGCAAAGCCCTTAACAGATCATTTTAAGCTGAGCATCTGGTGATTACTCATGGCTTCCATACCTATCAAAGTACTTCCCTCCATCCAGAGCTTTGTGAGGTTCTGGTTTGTGATAGACTTTGAGGAGAGTTTAAACTTGTGGAAGCGGGAATGTACGTTTATTAGAGTTCACCTTGAAATGCTGTGCAGATGTGCCAGTCTCAGAACAGCCCTTTTTAGGTGCCAACTTACATGTGATGTTGACAGCCTACAAAAATACCTGGGGGGCTGTGAAACACTTCCTTCTTTGAACCCTTAAACCTGATTGTGGAAGAGTGGTTTAGGGCGGCAGTTCTAAGTTCCACACTGGAACCCAGAGGAAAAAAGAAAGACTTAACTTTCAGCGGGGCCCAGAATAGTTTGATTAGGAAAATAGTGATGCAGTTAAAAAAGTCTCAAGCCTTGGTCATCATTCTCCATGAAATTAACCCGGACAGAGGTAGGCATTCCTGCGCGAGCCTCTCGCTGCTATGCGGGGATGTCCTGGGCAGCAAAGGTGAGTGTGGTTCCTGGTGGGCCCTCAGGATGTGTCCTCTGCCAGGGACCAACGGGACAGACATGAGCCTGCAAGTCCATGTTGCTATTTTGCCAGTGGCAGGTCCTGTTAAGCGCATCCCCAACCCTCAGCGACTCACTTCTTCTCCCCCAGTGCCCCTTCAGCTGCGCGTGGCCGTCCTCTAAACTGGATACGGAAAAAGATCCTGTGGGGGTTTTTTTGCAGGCTGGGCTGAAAGCATCGCCACCCACAACTGATCAACAGCAGTGCTGGGACAGCAGAGCTCCAGGAGGATGAGGGGAGAGGAGAGCAGGAACATCATGCATCAGATCTCCCAACAGCGGCAATAATGTGGAAACATGAGATATTTGCTTGTGCTAGAAGGCAGCAGCTCAACAACGTTCCTAGCCGCATCTCCCACACGTGAAACATGACTCTTACCTTTACAGGGCCAGTTCTCGAGTTAACCTGAAGTTCATAAATCACAGCACGATTCACAAAAGGGGCCTTGCTCATGCATAACTGTCCTCCACGCATAACAGGAGCTGGAAAATACAAACCCAAAGCGCCGTTCCAAGGCAGGGTGGCAGCAGCGGTGCCAGCAGCGTGAAGCATGGCGGGTACGGCAACGCGCGTTCCCAAAGTAACTGTCTGGCCGTGGAAGCGGTCGAGGTCAGTCAGATTCCCACCAGCGCGGTTTGAGGGAATGCCAAGATAGCAACAAATTAACATTTCAGTTACTTCATAATTACAGGGATAGATAAAAAGAGCCAAAAAAAAAAAAAAAGCTAGAGGGGAAAAACGTGAAATTGCTGGGTTTGAAGTTGGCTTGTGTGGGAAAAGGCCATTCCCTCAGAAAAGTGCAGACAGACAGAATGTGAAGGCAGTTATGAGCAAAAGAAACATCTTTCTCGTTGTTTTCAGTGATCCTACTTTGAGTTCCCAAGTTTTGGCATTTCCCCCCGCCCTGAAGCCGGAATAACTTCTGTGGGTGCTACAACACCGCTATAGGAGATCAAAAACAAGAAGGGACCAAAGGAACCGTCTTTTGTGTGTTTGATTTGCTCCAATTCTCAGAAATAAACAACGAGTCTGAATAGACCATTCGGAATCCCCGGCAAATGCAGTAACTCCTCCCCAGGGAAAGGAGCGAGCACTACTAAGAAGCGCTAGGAAATAAAGTCATAAAAACTTTCTTCCATGTGTCCGAGGGGAAAAAATCAAAAGCCTTTGCACTTAACAACGTGGATGCACGGCCAACTCATACTCATCTGCTTTTTTAAAAACCTTTTTGTAAGTTTAAATGTCAGATGAGGGTCTAGACCGCCTGTGATCTCTGGCGATCGCGCGGCTTTAAGTGGGGCTGCGCTGCATCAACCCGCGGAGCAGATTTCGAACCGCCGCCTGTTAATTTTCAGCCACTTCGCACGTGGAAAAAAAAAAATTCTTGAGGGCTGTCTTTCCTCTGGCTGGTTTTTAACGTCTTTTTTTGCCTGATGGGCTAAATCGGGCAGGTGTGACTTACTGCCAGGCCAGCTCCTGCTCCTGCCGCAGGGGCCTCACGCCTGAGGGAAGCCCGAGGAGGCCGCAGCACCCAGCGAGCCATGGCGGGTGGCAGCTCCTCTTCTGCCCCACAGCCAACCTGGCAGCTTTACGTTCCCTCCCCTGCTGCCAGCAAGCACTGAAAACCAAGTAAAAGTACGTTTTTCTGTCAAGCAAGGGTAGCCCAGCACATGCCACGGTGTAATTCAGAGTCAACAGATGGGAGAGTCGGCCAAGAGGGGCCGGGGAGCGGTTTAAGATGGAACCACTTCTGAGGGGATTCGCGCCACTTCAGGGGAGCGGGTGGAAGGACGGC